CAGACCAGTCACAACATCAAAGGTGAGGAAAAACCAAAACAATTCTGAACAACTTTCAAAACTAGATTGAAAATTGGCGTACCACGACACCTGGCATCAGAATCAGATGTAAGGATTGTTTAGTGAAAGAAACTCCTTTAAATCTGAAATTTACATCTTATTTTCCAGTTTGCTAGAAAGAGCTCTTACCTGGAATGTGTGAATGGTTCTTGCCCAGGCATGACTCAGTTTGGCTGATTTCAGTGTCCTGAAATCAATCTTTATTTTCTTTTCGCCATTGTCTAGACAGAAGAACATTTTCTTTTTGTTCCTTTCATCTTGTTCCTGAATGACTTCCTGAATGAAGAATATCTCTCCATTGCAAATTTTGACTGTTTTCTTATCGTATTCATCAAGACATACCACGTTACGCCTCACACAGACTTTGTCTCCAACTTCAAATTTCAGTTTCCCACGGTGGTCTTTGATGGGGTGTTTGCTGAAATGCTGGGCACATATTTCATTAATATTGTCACAGTCATTACGCCGAAATGCCACAAATTGAGATTCGTCAGGTTTAGGCAGGACAAAAGGGTTTCCCTCATTTTTTAGAACACCTTTAACAACTTGAGTGATCTTGTTACCATCAGAGTCAGCATTTGCATTGTATTTTACTGAGAAGAAACCTCTTTGTGGATCAAAAGGTGGCATCTGCTGCAAAGATATTTTTCCAGCATTTTGAACAATAAGTTCCGAATCTGATCTGTGGTTAGTTGGCAGAGTGATGCAGAGGGCATCTTTCTCCAACACATGGAAAAGATCGCTCAGAAAATTCCCAGGCTCAATGGATGGAAGTTGATTTACATCCCCCAAGAGCATCACATGTTGAAGTTGTGCATGCCAATGCAAAATGATGATCAGCTTGTAGAACACCCTCACAGACACCAGCCTACATTCATCACACACTAGAAGGCAAACCTTGCTGAATTTCCACTCATTGTGATCTCCACCCTTATTTTTCCAGTGTAGAAATGTGAAGATGACTGAGTGCAGTGTATGTGCAGGAATTCCGATTCTTTTCCCTAAGATGGAGGCAGCCTTGCCAGTTGGAGCAGTCAACAAAACTTGTTCATTAACTTCTTTGAGTTTCTTTTTAATGTGAGATGAAACTTAATCTTCCTTGCTGCCTGGATCAGGTTCAGTGGTTTCATGCTGATCAGTGTAATCCTGAATGATTTAAGGTTTATTTTGCTCTGAATATTGGGTGCAAGATGGATCCCAAGCCAATACCTCACTGTAGTCTTCACAAATGTCTATGTTTGTTTCAACTGAATTTACAGGGTTCTCTTGGAGGATCTTTTCCTTCTTTTCCTCTAGTACCTTCTTCAAGATTTCTGACACAACAAACGTCTTACCACAACCACCCCTGCCTGAGAGTACAGCAACTGGTTTTGTTGATATGAGTTGGGCTGCATGGATCTGGTCTACATCACCATCAAATATCTGTTGTAGAAAAATCATAGGAAACAGTAAAAGACAGTTAAACCTCAACGCTTCTCTAGTCTTCTCTGCGCCATGTCAATACATGTCAAGTTTCAGGGGGGTGCAATTGTGCATCGTGCATGAGAGGTATCACTTCAACTGAAAGGTACGAAACATGTAGGTCGAAATCCCTGAGCATATATATGTAATCACTTTCTACTATTATTGACCAGGAAGGTGGAGGGAGGGGCACCCTGTACAAAATTGACTTGCATGTCCCCTACCCCCAAATATGTTATCATCATACATCCGAGGACCTTTCGGTCATACCTGATACATGAACGGTATGGTTCTTTCACATTCACATGTACTGAAACTTGACCCTCTCTCTGTCAGGTTCTCAAAATCAATTCTCCTTGGTCTCTAATGCATTACTTATGTCTTTAGCTGTTGAGAATTTGGTGTTAAAGTCAAAATGCATCCCCAAGTTGATATTTTTACCTTTATTCTCAGCACCCTCATGCTTGCCAATGCAGATATATTGTGCAGAGAAAACACTTGTTGGTCATTTTTTATGTTTAAAGGGTTTTAAAACTACTTTTTAAAGATATGCAGCACAATCAGGACCTACTTTCTCATCAATCTTCACATTATCCAACCAAGGTTTTTTATCCATGATTGCAGCCACTTGTTTTGCAATTCCTTCTTCGTAATGACGAATGTGTGTCAAAAAAACATGCTGATTGTCACCCAGATGGTTTTCTGAAGTCCCTACAACATCGATTTCTTTTAAATAGTCAAGACTTTCTTTCCAGTTAGTGATTCCCTTTAACTTCTCCATCTTCTTCAGCATCTTGAATTCTACAAAAGTATGGCCATCCTTGAGAATCAATCCTGATAGGGCATTATATATGCACAATGCATCTTGCTTGGCAATTGGCATTTGGTTAAGTAAATTGCAGTCTTGGAATGATTTTAGCTTTACTTCACAGCTTGAGAGCTCAAATCTCTCTTTGAGAACCCTCCAGTAACCAAAAACCCAGGGTTCTTTATCCAGTGCCTCATTGAGCTTTTCCAGCATTTCCAGAGAATATTCCTCAAAGATGGAACAAACACGACGAGGAAAAAGCCGATGAGCATACCCAGTAAAATAAGGCACAGCAAAGGCTTTACCAGTTGCTGTAGAGACAATAAAGTTAAAATGTAAATTAAAGAAAAAATACACCACCTCCC